TGGACACAACCTTCAGAGAATGTCAGAACTAGCAAAGAACATTAAGATGTCAACATTCTGCATTCTTGAATATGTAAAAAGAACATTTATTTCAATGAAATAAATTAAGTTGCCTTGATCATCCTTTATGAGCCCAGCCAGCCAATGCTCTTAGGTAACCCATAGAGTCTGTCCCCGAGCTGGCCAGTGGCAGGATTCTCAAGACAGTTTTTTTGTATCAAGCCAGAGTTCTCTATCATGGAGTTCAGGTGGGGGACTGGACACTGGATTGAGAAAAGTATCAAAATTATATTCATATTTATTTTGTAACGTCATCTAAGTTTTTTCCAAATTTTATGTTTTTCTACAAATTTGAAAACATTTATCACTTACTAGTGTAGTACTTTGTGTGTAAAAATATAAATAAATAGATGTGTTTTAGAAGCATGAGCTAATTTCTTTAAAAAACACTGGTAAGATATAAAAATAAATAAGACCAGGGCTAAATACTTTTCAGACACAAAGTTTCAATCTCATAGGTTTTCAAAAAACAATGTAAATCCTATAGGTTAATATAGGCTAGTGATTCTGCTATTTTTATTTAAAATATTTATTTAGATTGATGGAATTGTAACTGCACTACACATGGGTAAAATGGAATGTGCACAGTCACTGAGTTGGTTAAGCCACAGAGCAAGAGGAACGAACACACGTAACTATCACAGACACTTTGTCCTGCTAGTTCCCTTTGTCTAGCACAACTTTCCCCAAATTTTATTTTTATTTATTGACTTCTATTTGCCCTTTAATATTGACTCGAATGCCTCGCTGTCTGGGGTGCCTCCTCTGCCCCACACAGAGCCGAGTTCAGTGCATCTCTCTAAGTGCTCAGGGGCTCGCTCTCCCTGGGATACAAAACAGCATCACCAGGCGAGAGTCTACCAGCCGGAAACACTACTGGAGCACAGTGTTCTTGAGTCCATATTTGCCAAAAATTAGTGATATAATTGGATATCTGATTATCTACTATATTGGAGGCCAGAAGTTTAGGTTGAAAATAAACAAGTAAGTATCTGAAGATGTTATAAATAGAAGAGCAAATATAACCAAAGGAAACAGAACAAAGGAAATAGTAAAAACAAAAAATGAAATAGAAAAATAATATCATCAAGACAACCAAAAAATCGCACATTTCACTTTTTGCAAAGATTAGTAAAATTCATAATCCCCTGACAAAACTGATGAGGAAATGATGTATGTGAAGAAAAAAAGAGTGGGCATTTCTTCAGGGCTTACAAATGCTAAATAGATTCTGAGAGAATAGTGTGAATGACAAAGTAGCAAAATTTTCTTGCAAACTATAACTTAACAAAGTTAAGTTTGGGGACTCCCCCCAAATAGAAAGTGTAAAATTGTTCCATAACTCTTAAATATATTAAATCTCCAGACCTACATGGCTTTACAAATTAAAAAAATAAAACCAATTTTATACAAACTCTTCCATAGAGTAGGAAAAAAGCAAGAATTCTTTTCAATGGATAGTATTACAAGGCCAGCATATTCTTGATTTTGATCCCTGGTAAGGGCATTATAACCCAGAGAAACTTTAGGCTGTCTCTGTAATAAACAAAGTTGAATACAAATGCTAATGAAATGTTAAATCACATATAGCAATACATAAAAAGCATAGTACATTAGAACAATGTGGAGTTTATTCTAGTAGTGCAAATTTGTTTAAAATTACTTTGTTCCTCAGTGTAGTTTACTACATCAACAGAATAAAGGAGAAAAACTTTGTTATTGGATGATTGTTGAACAGCTCAATAGATTCAGTAAAAAAACTTGCTGAACTCAACCCTATTTATTTTAAAAACTATTAGCAACCTAGGAATAGAAGGAAGTTTTCTTAAAATAATAAAGGCTACCTACAAAAGCCTACATAGTTGAGGAAATATTAGATGCTCCTAAATATTAGACAGTGGTATAACACAGCACGTCCACCATCACCTCTTTAACCCAGTATATGTGCGGGTCTGCAAAAAATAGCAAGAAAAATAAGTAGAATATATAAATATGGAAAAGAAAACAATGACTCATTATTTGTAGACAATATAAGTGGAAAATTAAAACAATACAGACAAATTATTAGAATTAAAACTGAAGTTAGTAAGGTTGTTGGGTAAAAATGTCAATATAAAATTCAGTTGTATCTAATGAAATAATGATGAAAAATAGAAAACCAATATTCAATAGATGCTGTCAGACATCTGTAATAAAAAATATTTTTAGGCCATATGCACAGAGGAATGAATCTATTGTTGAGAAAAAATGTAAAGTTTTAAAAAGGTACATTATAATCATCCCTATTGAAAAATGTTAAGATGAAATTTCAACTAAAATCCTAGCTAGTCTTTGCAAGAAGTTAAAAATATAAATTTAAAATTTATATGGAAATGTGACAGTTCAAGGGCCAAAATACCAACTTCTTAAGAATAAGGATAAAATAGGAGGAGGACTTACTCTGCTAGATATCAATACTTATTATAAAGCTACAGTCATTGAGACTGTTAGTACAAGGAGAGATAAAAAGATCATTGGTATATAATATACATCTCTGAGGTAGGCAAACATAAATATTTAAGTTATTACAAGCATGGCACTGCACAACAGTGAGCAAAGGTAAGTCTTTAAACAATGTTAGGACAAAGGGACTTACCTAAGAAAAAGAAGATAAAAAAGATGAACAGTGAAAGGACAGCAAACTCACAGTTATTAAGAACCACACCTAAAACAAAAGCAAACTAAGAGGACAGCTAGATCAGGAGCAGAACCATAGAAATGAAGATCTCATGGAGGGTTAGCAACAGGGGAGTGGGAGGAGAAGGGGGGAGGAGGTACAGAAAATAAGTAGCATAGACGGTAGGTAGAAAATAGATAGGGGGAGGGCAAGAGTAGTATGGGAAATATAGAATCTAAAGAACTTGAGACATGTGGTCATAAACTAAAGGGGGGAATGGTAGGGGTGGGGGGGTGCAGGGTGGAGGGGAATGAAGCAGGGATAGAATAACTGTAATGGCATAATCAATAAAATATATTAAAAATTAAAAAAAACAATGTTAGGACAATTCAAAATTTACGTGGAAGAAAAGTGATTCTTATTTTAAACCATGCTAGAAAGTCTATTTTAAATAGATTGTAGATTTACATTTGAAAGAAAAAAACAACATGGCTTCTAGAATACAGGAAACTCTACTTATGGCATAGAGCTAGGATATGTTATTCTAACCAAATGAGAAAATACTGATCCATTTTCCTGCATTAAAAGTCAGAGTTTCAGTTCACTAGAAGGCATCCTAAAGAGAATGAAGGAACAAGACATAGAGTGGAAGAAAATTGTTGCAACGTATTTAACTAATGAAGGAATTCTACCTAGAATATATGAAGGAATACTATAAATAAATAAAGTAATATGTTATTTGTAGTAACCCCAATTTTGGAAACATTCTAAATGTGTAGGTACATAGGAATGTACCAATGGATTGTAATATATTCATAGAACATTATACAACAATGAAAATACAGACAGCCGTCACTGCATTGTTGATTTAAACATCAGTCATTTTATTGCCTCTCACTCTTGCCTTTGATTAGGCTCACCTGGGCTATTTTCGGTTCTGTTTCTAATATGGTAGACCTTTGGCTCTTGGAGCTGGAATTATTCATAGGACTTTGAGGCTGATACTTGCCACACACTGGAGCCTCAGCTGGGCACCAGAACAGCTGTGTTTCTTGGACACTTTTCTATTTCATTCTCTTTTGCTTCTCCACATGGCAGACTTGGGGTAGCTCAGTTTCTTATGCAGCAGATGAAGACTCCCACAGTGAATATCACAGGAGAAACTGGCAGAAGCTGTATGACCTTTTCTAAAGTTATATGGAAACTATGAAGCTTCTTTTTTACACCTGTTTTGAAACGACTAAGTCGTCAAATCGGTCTTCCCATCATTATTAGTCCTTGAATCGTCCAACTTTCCTGTGTAGATTTTTCTGGATACATGTTTTACTTTACATTTTAAAATGCTAACAATGAAAAACAACACAGCCCAGTCCATTAAGGAGGTCCAGACTCCCAGGGTGGTGAGGGATATTGTTATTTTTCTTACTATTTTTAGTTCCTCGCTACTCTCTAAGTCTTAGCTTTAGCTCTTGACAACCTGCCTCTGACCTCCTTGTTGGTTTTAACCTTCCTCTCACAGCTTCCTCACAAGAACGCTGAGATCCAGCTGAATTGTAACCTTGCACTTCTCTTCTATGTCCCTGTGATAGCATACCGGCCCTCCAAAGATGCCCACACCCGAATGCGAACATGTTACCTTCCATGGCAAAAAGTGCTTGGCAGCTAAAATTAAATGAACAATCTCACCATGGTGAGCTTATCCTAGATTATCATAAGGAGGGTCAGAGTTAGGGTCTAAGGAGATGTGATAATGAGAGCAGAGGTCAGAATTTGCCATCGCTGGAAAGGACACAAGGTCAAGGAATGAGGCTGTCTCTAGAAGCTGAAAAGCCAAGGAAGTGGGTCACTTTTTCTGCAAAGAGAACCATCTGCTCTCTAACACCTTGAGTTTAGTCCCATAAGACCCATTCTTGGACTTTGATCTCATGAATTGAAAGAAAATAGATAGATGTGTTGCTTTAAGCTACCAAGTTTGTGGTAATTTGTCACGGCAGCAATGGCATCAGTATAATCCCTTTCTTTCCCTTCACCCCCACTCTAAAGTGCTAAGACACCTAAGCAACACTGATGGTCCACTAACCACATATAACCAAGCTTTTTGAGGCCAAGGTGCTGTACATTTCAGCTGTTCCACAGTTTCCTATTCAGAGATTTTCCACATGTTAGACATGCATGTTTGTGAAGTGACTATAGGAGGAACAGAATAGTATCATAAAGTATAATAAAATCGTTCCAGTAATAGTTGATATTGTATGCCAAAGTATAAAAGTAAATTGTAACTTACATTTGCAATCTCGTATGATCCAGTTAATATCTGTGCCATGTAATGGTTTAGATCTCTGAATCTTTTGTCATCTGAATTTGTAAAAGGTAAGTGCCACCAATGAGGAAACCTGTTTTAAAAGAAAAAAAGTCTGTTCATTAGTTTGAAAATCAGCCTCTTCATTTTATGACTGTTTGTGAAGCTACAGCTGCATCTGATGGAAGGTGCAATAAAACCATCACCAAAAACAACCATAGAACACATGATTAATCCTGGGAGTTTCTTTAACTTGGCTGTGCTCACTGTGCTATTTTAATTGTCACTTCTATTAACAATAATTCAGTTCAATTCAGCATCCTAAATCAACGTATATGTTCCTTCTTACTGTGTTTATGGTAGACCACACATTTTGTTCCTTAAATATGTGTGGGAGCTTAAATGTTTTCTGAAGTTAATGATTCATAATTTTTCAGAAAGGTCAGATTGCATGGTTTCTCCTGGGTTCACTAGAGACACTGCTACGCTAACTAAGTTCAACTCTTTACCCAGCGACATATGCTTCCATCTGGTCTGAGTCTTTTGGAACAAAGTTTCACTTTCCCCAGGAGTCTGACTTGCAGAATTTCTTTCTTCCCTATATTCTCATGATTCATCTCCATGGGTTTGATATGATTAAGACCAATTATTGGATAGAATGACCTGTTAATGTTTAAGCACTTGGCAATGAATTTTATAGATTAAATATATCATTTTAGGAACTCTCCAGCGCTTCCTCTAATTTCAGTCTTGCTCAGCCTCCTGCCTAGTTCTCCTTCTTTGATAAAGGCCTTTTCCTGGGGAGAGGAGAATTGGAGAAAGTAAAGCACTGCGGGCCCACTCATCCACTATTTCTTGTTGGGAATGCCAGAGAAGTCCCAAACCGTGTATTTGTGTAGTTCAATAATTGTTTTTTTAAAGGTCACTTGAAGTTCTAAAGCTTAAAGTGTTAAACATGTTCATCCTTAGTTATGAAAATTAGTACCATATGCAACTGATCAAAATATAGAAATGAATGTGATAAATAGATGCACTGGGCTGGTTTTAAATAATTTGTGTATTTGTGGACAAATTTGCCTTATTGCTAAATAATATGGAGTTCAACATCAGTTCTACACCTTTGTTGACATTTTTATAGATGTATGTACTCAAAAATATCTTACGTATAAAGAACTATATGAGGAATTCAGTTATAGTAGTATCATTCAATTGTTTGAGATGCTTTTGTGTTATATGCTAAGTGTAAAATAGAATTCATTTTTTTAAAATGATTTTTTGTGATTTTTTTATCTGACAGTGACATAATTTCCTCCCTTAATTTTGTCAAGATCAAAGATTAAAAAACATGTGACTTGCAAACAGATTTGATACCTGGTTATTTAAGTAATTAATTTTCCTACTACCAACAACACTATTGTGATTTGCCTTTTATTTGATCCTCAGAGCTTTTTTTTAACTCCCTAGTAAAATGTACCCAAACTCTACTTTTTTTTTCCATTTTACTAGGACAATGTACCAAAATAAAATTTTGGACATTTTACTAGGACAGTATACCAAAAAAAAAAAAAGATTTTGGACGACTGGTGAAAGTAGAAGGGGAGGAAGTCAACCCTTCTCAAGCAGGTTGGTTTTAAAGACCATCACTTTTCAGGAAGGTTTCTAAGCCTGTGTATTCTTGGAAGGTACCCAGAGATACAAATGGCCCAATGTGAAGACCACAGTTACACGCTGTGAGTGATTTGAATTTTGTTTTTCATGATCCTAACTTTCTCCTCATACTTTCCAGGTCAGGTTTACTTAGTTCTCATAGGGTTTCTCTTAGTAAATTTAAAAGCCAGAGGAAATCTGCCCTCATCTTTAATTTACATGCATTGCTGTAAGCCTTAGCTCCTTTGGGACCATTAGCACACAGGTATTGTTGAGGGTACATAGGACTAACTGTTTCTCTCCTCCACACATCGCTTGAATAGTTTTAAAATCAACTTAGGTACCATTATCAGGCAGTGGTTGTTGAGCAAAGCAAAATCCTAACTAAAGGTGAAAGTCGAGAAGAGGCATGTATGGAAAGGTTATTAGCACTTTTAAGGTTTTACAAGTTATACTAATATGTATTGGAGACATAAAAGTGTAGAGCAGAGAAGTGTTTGAAACTGAAAGAGACAGCTCTTTCACACAAATTAACTTATAAATCATTCCTTAGTAGGGCATGATGGCCACCACTGATGTTGAATACAGCATGTGCAGCCAATCTGAATTTGCTTTTTGCCAGCATCGCTTCTTTCTCAGTTATTCTATCAGATTTAAAAAAATCTGATGTTACTTTCAAAAGTTTCCCAACCACATTCCCTTCCTCCCAGTCTCTTGAATGTACTCTTAGTCTAATTTTGTTGACTTATTGACATTTAAAGCATTTGTATTTTAAAATTCCTGTGACATTTTCAAGTACAGATTTTCATAAATGTGAACTATGCATTTGTCGAGACTGCACAATATCTCTCCATCCATTGATATTTTTGCTTAGCTGTATATTTACATTGCTAAAGGGCCATCTACTTCAACCCCCTGCATAGGTAGTACTACATGTGGCTGACCAGGACGCCAACATCGTAATTTCTGGAAAGTTCACCTTTTTTAAAGTCAAGATGCACCTTTGTTATCACTGAAGTCTGTGACTTAAATTTGGTTAGCTCTGCCTGATACATTTTAGAAAGTTTGTTTGAACAGAGGTTGTTTTCATCTAGTTTGCTTACATTTAATACTTTTTCTAATAAAACATGAAAGGAAGCAATGATTTTCAAGATTACTTCAAAATGAACGTATAAATTAAACTTTGATAGTACAAATCAAAGTCAATAATTAATGATAACAAAAGTCAGTTGATTTTACTAAATTTAAATTCTACTACATAAAATTTTACTATATTAAAGATTTAACTTTTTCTGGAACAGCAAACAAATATATCAGAGCTGTATATTGCAGTTCCTTATTTAAAAGTAGATCTATCCAATTTAGCTTTGAATGTTTAATTTTATTTTTATAGAAAACCCTGAAAGGTTAAATTTAAAAGCAGGCAAATAAAACAATTTTTTAAATAACTGATTAAAAATGTAATTGGTTCTCGATTTTTCTGTCTACCAAAATCAATGGCTGGAAGCAAACAGAAAATTGAAACATCGTTCTGTTTTATGAGACAAGGTTTTCTACTGTGAGAGCAGTGCAGACCCTCTGCTGGGCTAGGTTCGATGGCATTGGGGTCAGAATGCTGTGTTGCTCATGAGAGAACATCTAACCCTGGTTTCCCCTTGTGTTCAAGGACAAGCACTGAGGCAAACCCTGTGGAGGGCAGCGCCTTACTCTGGGAGCGTCAGTGATGGAAACTGCTTCTGAAGTTGACTGTGGAGCTTTGAAAATTGTTCAAATGACTTTTCTGTCAGGCTTGTTTCGTTGTTCCTGTGTGTCACCTGGATTAGATACAGCTGCAGGAAATAAATAGACAAAAATCAAGAGACAGCAATATCAACCTTGTGATACTTTCTAAAATCTCCTTACATGTAAACAAACCAAGCACGCATCTTTGTGCAAAAAAAATTATCATGGAAGCTAAGAGATGTAATGGCAAAGTTACATATGAACGCAGTGTATAATGATATAATCTTATGTGCTGGAAAAAGACTGCCTAATTTATGCTCTACTTGTGGACACTCTAAGTAGCTCTTGATTTTTAGTCTACCCCTGGCAGAGTCTGTTCTCTTTGATGGTTCTCTTCTGATAGCTCTGGTTGTTATGATTTCTCCTCGGAACATCCTCCATGGTGGCACTTCTGCTCAAACTGTCACAGATATTTCAATCACGTAGTAAAAACAAAAATCACAGTTTAAGGAAGAGTGTGTAACAGTGAACTGGAGTCTGAGATAGTGTCAAATATTGAAGTCAAGAGGACAGACTGGAGACTTACAGCACGAGTTTTCTTGCTGAACCTTAAAATTGCCGCTCTTTGAATTGACCTGGTTGAAGTCAGCGTACAGGATTTTTGGGACAAATCCTGTGAAGTAGATTTGGCAGGGCTTGCAGTCATCATTTGTGCAAGTGTGTGAATCAAGTTGTTCAATTTAACAGGGAAGCACTCCAGACTTTCTTTTATTTTCCTAGAGAAATTAAAAAGAAAAGATAATGAGTTACATTCCCTTGAATTGAGTCATTTCACTGAAAATTTGGTTCTTTGTGTTTGTTTGATGTGGAAAAAAAAGTCAAGAATCAAAGATGTTTAATTCAAGTTCAGCAATTAAAACCTATTTTTATAAACTTCAAGTTCACACTGATTTGTTAGCAAACATAAAACAAACTTTTATGGTGAAATATAAAGCTGCAATGATATTTAACTTCTTTTAGATTTATTTTCTATTTTTAGAAATAACATTTTAAAGTTTAATTTTTGTTTATAATTACTTAAAGTATTTACATGAATCCAGAAGTTAAATATTTAAAAAAATGTGTATTTCTTGAAGCTCAGGTTCTAACTCTGTACTGTCTCTGTTATTCCTTACCTTCCTGTATATTTAAAAAAAATTTAATTATAGGTTGACTTTCATTATTTTGTTTTCTGTTTTTTTTAAAGCTTTTATTTGTTTGTTTTTAGACAGAGGGGAAGGAAGGGAGAAAGAGGCGTAAAAATATCTATGTGTGGTTGCCTCTTCCATGCCCCCAAATGGGGAACCTGGCCCACAACCCGGGCGTGTGCCCTGACTGAGAATCAAACGAGCGACTCTTTGGTTCACAGACTAGCACTCAATCCATTGAGCCACACTAGGCAGGGCTCATTATTTTGTTTTTTAATTTTAATTTTTGTATGTATTTGTGTCCTTTCAACTATCGTACAAAAAAGTTTCATACTATAATACTATAACTAATATACATGTATTTTATATGAAATGTTTTTCCTTCTATGGTCTCTTTTTGGTTTTTTTGGTGTGTCTCTACTTCCTAAAGTTATTTTTTTTTGTATTTAAGGAGGTTTGCAATTGTATTCTAACGGTATAACAAATATCTTTTTAAAAATATTTTTATTTAATTATTGTTCAAGTATAGCTTTCTGTCTTTTACTCCCATCCCAGCCCACCCCTCTAGTGTTCCCCACCTCCATCCCACTTCCACCCCTGTTAGTTTTTGTCCATGTGTCCTTTATACTTGTTCCTGTGAATCCTTCCCCCTTTCCCCTGAAATTCCCTCTCCTCTCCTCTCTGGTCCCTGTCTGCCTGTTCTGTATTTCAGTGTCTTTGGTTATATTTTGCTTGCTTGTCTGTTTTGTTGTTTAGTTTCCTGTTAAAGGTGAGATCATATGGTATTTGTCTTTCAGCACCTGGCCTATTTCACTCAGCATAATGCTTTCCAGTTCCATCCATGTTGTTGCAAAAGGTAGTAGCTCCTTCTTTCTCTCTACTACATAGAATTCCATTGTGTGAATGTACCACAATTTTTTGATCCATTCATTTACTGATGGGCACCTACGTTGTTTCCAACTCTTGGTTATTGCAAATTGTGCTGCTATAAACATTGGGGTGCATAGGTTTTTTGGATTGGTGTTTCAGGGTTCTTAGGATATAACCTTAGCAGTGGAATTGTTGGGTCAAAAGGCAGGTTCATTTTTATTTTTCTGAGAAAATTCCATACTGTTTTCCATAATGGTTGTACCAGTCTGCAATCTCACCAACGGTGAACTAGGGTCCCCTTTTCCCCACAACCTTTCCAATATTTGTTGTTTGTTGCTTTGTTTAAAAAGTGTCTGATATTTTTAAACCAGTATTTTATCACATTCCTGATTAAATTTGATATAGAGGTGTTCTTTTCATTGAGCATCTTTTCATGTGTCTTTATACAATGCTCCATACCCCTTTACACCTCTTCTTCTTCTCCAGTATCTAATTTGCAGTCCATTTTATCCCAGTTAATACTATAAAGCAAACAGTATGCTTATTCTAGTTTTTATATGTGCTTCCTATTCCACTTTGTTTTTTTACACTAGCAGTTTTTATACTATACATACTATGCATTGTCTCTTCTATCATTAAATCTCAACCAGTCTTCATGTTTACATCACTCAGTCATTTTGACAATCTGAAGGTAATTTCTCCGGTATGCTCAAGGAAATAAGTTTCTGAGTCTTCGGTGTTCATAACAGCTTGTGGCCTTCATACTTCAAAGTCAATTTGGCTAGATACAACATTTTTGTCTCAAATTTTCTTTTTTCAGTGCCATAAAAATATTATTCCTTTTTCTTCTGGAATAAAATATTACTACCCAAGCCCTGATCAGGTAGCTTAGTTGGTTACCCTGATATGATAAGGTTGTGGGTTCAATCCCAGGTCAGGGGATTGAACATGCAAGAATCAACTCATGAATGCATCACTAAGTTGAACAAAAAAATCAGTGTTTTCCTCTCTCTCAAAAAAATCAATTAAAAAAGTTACTATCCAAAACTCTGATGACATAATGAACTTCTTTTCCTTATAAAGGACTTATTTTTTTGCCTAGATGCTTAAAGAAAGTTTATTTTTCTTTGAAGTCCAATAGTTTTTCTAAAATATATTTCAGTTTGGTTATTCTAGGTATTTTTTCTCAACATGCAATGGATCTTTCAATGTGTAGTTTTGTCTTTTGATTTTCTAGAACATTTAAAATTTTATTTTAACTAATATTTGATGATATATGACTAAGTTTTATCTCATTAATTTTAACAATATATCTACATGTTCTTTTGAAATTTGCATTGACACAGTCATGTAATCTGCAAATAATGAAGGAGATTTTTGTCACCATTTGTACTGCTAGAACATCCAGTTCAGTATTAATTAGAAGTGGCAACAGCAAAGTTTGTTCCTGATTACAAAGGAAACACTTTCATTGTTACAGCATTAAGTATAATGTTTTCTGTAGGCTTTTAGCTATAAGTTAAGGACATTTCTTGATATTTATGAAGAGTTTTTCAAAATGAATGATTCTAAATTTTATTAACTGCATTTTCTGCATCTATTGAGGTGATCATATGATGTTTCCTCTTCTTTTTACTACTGAGCCTGGAATGTTTCCCTTAAAACCACTTATTTTACTGAACTTCTGTTATTTCAAAAATTTTTGGTTCTCTTGAATTGTCATTTTTATTGTCTTATTCAAATGGAAAAGAACAATAAAACAAAGCATAAATACAGAGTGTTACAATCAAATAGAAGGCATTATTTTTTCCTGATATTAATGGGAATGCTTGTAATTTTTCAGTTTTAAAAGTATGATGTCTATCTAAGTTTCTTTCTGTTCTGTGCTTACTAAAATTTTCTAAGAGAAATGAGTGTTAACTATAACCAAGCACTGCTTTCTGTCCCGTAGGCTTCTATCAAAGTCACTGTGCCTTCTTTACAACTAATCTGCCGTGTCCCCAATGTTAACAATGTACTTCAGTAATGTTTAATAATTGTCCCCTCAGCTTCAGAAAACTTCAAGCCCATTTGTCTTGTTCTGGACTTAGGCTCTTTTGAATACATTTAAAATTTTTCCATTATTATACATCAATCCAGGTGAAAATTTGCTAAGAAAGTTAAAATATGACTGATCATTATTCATTTCCACAGTGTTCATTATTTCTAAAGGTATTCTTTGAATTTATGGGGATATATATAGTGCAGTATACAACATTCATTCTTCATTGTTAAATACAAGAACCTAATAATAATAGAGATACTAGTAATCATGACTTATGGAGACCCTACCATTCATTCATTCATTCAACTAATATTTACTGAACATATTATTGTGCTGGGGTGGAAAGCTCTTGATGACAACATGTACTCATTTCTTATGAAGATAGGCCTATGAACCATAAACCTTAAGTTCTGATATACTCACACTCGAAAATATCAACTATGCTCATACCTTCTTCACACGTTACCCAACAGTTAAGATGTAAGACGACTGGAGAGGAAGGTTAAACTTGTACAATAATCCTATGTCATTTTAGGACAGACTTTCACCTAAAGTGACCTCCATCTCCTATCTCTCAGGTGGCAGATTAATAAGTCAAATCCAAGAGTGCTATTATATATGACTCAAGGTGGTGTCCCGAGAGCAGTGAGTTTTAGGCCTCTGTGAGGATTTTTTTGTTAACGGTAGCAGCTTTCTGGGTTATTTTGTTTAATTGCAGCATCAGCAAGATTATGCTTTGAGTATTCTTATATTACAGGTCCAAAGCAGCAGCTGGAAGGTTGCAGTTCTTAAATTTCCTAGGGGAAACCTCAAGGCACTCTTGATAAATGCTTCCAACTCTCTGCTAGGCACTATTCTCTGTGCTGGGACTAGAGAGAAATCAGGTTTCTGCCCTGAGGGAATATACATCTTTTGGCAGGCCCTGCACAATGCCTTATGTTAATCTCTTCCTCCTTAGAGGAAAGCAGTGTAATTATTTTAGCAATAGATAAGAAAGACCAAGACAGGTGAAATGGTGCTAAAGGGGACGTCATCCAGAAAGTATTAACCAAAAATTCCAACTCAGGTTTATCACATTTATACTATGCAAATATTATTTCAGAAATATTACTACCAGTTAAGTAAAGAAATAAGTATGTAAGAGCCCCAAAGGCAGCAAACTATACATGGAGATTACAAGGGAGAACAAATGTGTAAACTGTGGTTCTGTGAGAACTGAAATGAGGTAAGCTCTCTTGAAATCCTACAAAAGAGATATTTGATAAGGGTTAAGAAGAGGCACTTTAGGGTTTCTTTTCTTTCTTTTTCTCTTCTTTTGCTTCGTAGCTTAGGACTTAGCTTTACAAACAAAACAAGTTTTGCTGTTTTCCCAGTCCAAGTTTCAAATCCTTAGAATTCACCTAGAAGTCAGCAAGTCTTCTGCAAACCTCAGTGCGGGCACATAACTCCGCTTACAAACCAGAGTGTTCCAGGTTCCAGGGCCTTGAGTATGGATGAGTAATTCTTATCAATTTCTTATGACAGCTGCTGACAAAAAATAGGCCAAATCAGAGCAAATGGAATAAAGGGACTAAGGGAAGTTGACGGACTGGTCTCGTTATGTATGGGTAATGTGCCAGTTAACATGGTATCCCAGGTTACTATCCTCCCTTCCCAAACCCAGCTTGTCTTAGTG